AAGGGGGTAACAAGCTGGAGTAAATATAAATAAGACGTTAATCTTTTTTTTGTAAGGTTTTGGTTGAAATGAAAAAATAGTGTCACGAGGGGATTCGAATCCACGACATTCGGCTAAATACGCCGTTGCGCTAACCACTTGAGCTATACTGACTTCGATAGTTCCATCCACTCGGGCACCAACTCCCCACCTCAACCTACAACCTTTCGAATTTTCTCTCTTTTTGCCATTTTTTGGTGTCGGAGAGGATCGAAGTCACGATAGCTCAAGTGGTAGAGCAGTGGCGTATTTACCCGAAGGCCATGGATTCAGATCCCGCAATAACCAGTCAGACAAACCTCCAATTCTACGAAAGACCCATAAGCAACCCCAGAGGAAGTTTCCGTAAAACAAAACGGAAAAATGTTTTACAGGATGATTATGCCTCATTTGTCATTTTCATAAATCAACTTGGCTAACCCCTGCACGATGGACAAGAACAAATGCTTAAAGAACAGATTTACATAAAGTGGAAGCCGACTCCTACGAAAAGCGAGTCGAATAAAAGAAAAATTCAACTGGTAACTGTTAGTAAATCTGAAATCAGCGATGTAGTTTATCGACCAGCTATTTCAATGCTCTCAGTTATCGGGTTTGTGGTCAATATAAACAGCAAGGTTTTGTTTTTTTAGATTGAGTTAGATAATGTTATTCAAGCGTTTAACTCATACCAACCAAAATTATTGTTTACCCACGAGGTTGAAGAAAATGGTAAATTGCCATACTTATTAGTGATTAGGAATAATCAAATTTTTATTACAGATTGGTATCAAAAATCTACTAGCTCAGACAGATTACTCCACTACAGTTCCTCACACTTATTACAAATGAAAATCAGCATAATAATTAACTTAATTGATAGGTCTTTAAAGTTAAATCATGAGAGTTTCCACGAAAAAAACAAACTCAAGATTGAAAAGATGTTAATATCTAATGGATATCCAAAATCGTTGTATAAGAAAATACTAAATAGAAGGTTGAATGATAGTGTTCCCATGGATATAACCAATAATGTTAGTCATGATGTACCTAATAATATAAAATATTTCCCATTAACATATGTAAAAGAAATTTCAATTTATTTCATTAAATAAATTGCTACAAAGAAAAATAGAAAATATCAAAGTTGTTTACAAGTTTGAAACCAAATAGGGAAAATTTTTTTTACAAAATTAAAATATAAAAAAGAAAAAGGAAAAATATCCAACGTTGTTTGTGTTGATTGTAACGACTGTCCCACCGTGTACTACGGACTGACTAAACAATTTTTGGCCGAACGCATCAAGGCACATACAATATTGCAGAAAACATAGTAGAGCGGGAACAGGACTGCCGAAACATTCAATTGCACACAAACATAATTTTAAGTTAAATATTGATGACATAAAGATTGTGGACTATGAAAAAATTCTAGGGCGTAGATTACTAAAAGAATCTATGTATGTACAAAAAGACCCCAATTTGAAAACTGATTACAACAATATTAATCCTATTTATTCAAATTTATTAACAAAATAATATATTTAAAAAAAGAAAAGATTGTAATCTAGACAATTCACGTACATAGTCTTTATTTATTTGTTTATAATATACGTATTTATTTATTTATAAGCTCCGATATTTGTCAAAAAACCTTCCAACAGAGGGAAATTTGCATTAGTACGTTGGATATGTGTGTAAGAACGGCATCTAACTGGCCTGTTACCTTCTTCGAGTGATATCTTACTGTGATAAAGAAAGGCATGTTTATATTTTTTTACTTGTAACGTGGTATTGTCTGTTCGCAATTATTTATAAATTTATGACATTGTTTTTGTAATAGTCCTAAAATATGTAGTCCTAAACAAAAAATGTGTATTTCTTCTTGTATTATTATATTGATAATCGTTTTTGTCATTGTAGCGCCTTGAGAAGGACTAAATATATAGTCGAAAGCTTGGCAAAAAACAAAACCTTGCTGTTTATATTGACCATAAACCCGATAACTGAGAGCATTAAATCTGAAATCAACGATGACATTTTGTAAAGGATGGTTCTACTTACAGGAATTTGCAAAAAGAGTGGTCGTAGATAAAAGAGATTTTTGGAAGAAAGCAATCCCCCAGGAAGGTTTACAGATGGAGCAAGGATAGAACAGAAGTATATATCTTCGAAGTTGAGGTTCGTGCATCTTTTTCTACGGGATGACTTGTGCCTGGATTTACGTACTTTCGGACGGATATTCAGGCTATAACGGCACAAAATGAATATGGTTTTAACTCAAACTAATCTGGGAATACTAAAATTGTATAATGGCCGAAGGAAAAGGCGTGTTTATCTTGCGGTACCGGGACAGTTATATAAGGAAAGGGACAGGCACAATGATCGGCCAAACAATCAGCAGCCCTTTCACCTATAGGACCAGAATCTCAACTAGGTGCACTGCAAAAGTTAAAACTGGAAAAACGGCTTGAGAAAGAAAGACTCAAGCACTGGACAATACACTGGGTATTTGGTATCTGGATCTTGGATCATCACAACTTGGCCCTGATGTAACAACTGTTTTGAACAGTATTTTTATGAATGCTACAAAATATATAGATTCGTCAATTTTTTGAGGAGAAAAGGTTTAAAATCATTACTTGATCCCTTCAATAAAATAATAGAAAAAAGTCCCTTTGTCTCTTTAACGAAATAATCGTCCAAAAACTTTACCTAATAGAAATGCTATTTTTACTTTAAGAAATGGAACTGGTTCCTGCAGAGCCAGTTTCGAGTAGTTTCGTTGTTACGCGGAAAAATCGCTGCTCTCGACCGTTCTTCTTTATCTATCATACTCCTCTGATAATGCTTATTAAGGTTTTGACATATATAATACATCAAAACAACTGCTGGAACAACAGAAGATGTAAAGCATGAGGACATATTGATGAAGAGACTAAAATACTTCGGTATTAGTAACGAATTGTTTATTTGAAAGACGTTATGTGAAAGCGTTTATTAAAAAAAGAGTTGTAAAGTAATGCATTTTTTTAAGTTTTATGTAGCAGACATACTCACAACTATTTAGGCCGTCAAAAATTATAAAACAAAAAATCATGGTGTCGCTCCAGCTGGATGATGAAGGGACGAGTGAAAAGTGTAAAGGGCAAACAAAGGACTGTCATAGAGATGTTTGATAACTTTTGATGTATTTAAAATTTAAAGTTTTAATAAATTAAAATATTATTATAATTAATCAATTAATTATACACAATTTTTTCGAAATGAAAAATTTGTGTCAGTCGGGATTCGAACTTTCGGCTAAATACGCCGCTGCTCTTGAGCTACCGTGACTTCGATCGCTCATGCCACGAACTTCTCATTTCGACTCCCTGTTTTTTCCAATTTTAAGCAAATCGCGGCTGCATATAGAAACGCTTTTATTAACGATTGTACTACATTAGCGTTATTAAAATATTCTTACTACATCATCCTTTACAACATAGTTAAAATAACATCACCATAACGCGTCAAATAGCCTTGTAGGAAAATTAAAATTCTACCAATTCGACATTTTTTTTCGCAATTACAAGGATGTTGAAGATGTGAAACCCTTCTTTTTTAATTACCACGTGCGATGATTTGCATATTAACCGTCATGCAGATAATAAATTCGAAAATAAAAACTGCAATAAAGTTGTTTCGTAATTGTTTTGATCAGAGGTGTATGAAAGATTGATTTCTTTGAACCGTAGCCTCGGAGAAACGTGAGGTCGTAGTTTCGACGTTTGTTTTTTAATTTTATTTTGCTTCACACCGATCGCTGTTACAAGTATACAAGTTTACAATTTTTATTCTCATCTTGCTTTAAAGATAATACAAAAAAAAAAAAAAAAGAGAACTACTGTGATATAAATTATACCTTTGGGATGTAATAAATTGCAGGAGAACGAATACCCAGCTCTGAGGAAAGAAAAGATTCACGTAACAACTGTCTTAAAAGGGAGAGAAATTTGTTGACAATGTTCAAACTTTTTTTGTGCTCATTTTTAATGCTAAATGAAAAAAGTTTTACAACTTGTGAAATCAATTTCTATGCTTATTGACAGACTCGAAGGACCGGGAGTGATTAATTTTTAAATTATAGGGTATAGGAATAATGATAATGTATAAATGTGATTCGATCGAAATCATTTATTAAAACAAATAAGGAATGTTCAAGGCGCTATCCTTGTAAGGTGCGCTCTAAAAAAATTAAACACCCTGTATTTTCAGAGCAAGGGTAGACACTTAATGCAAATACAGTTGTGTGATAATGCAGTAAGTCTATAAGTAAAGGGTATTTTCCTCGTCGACCTAATTGTACCAGCAGGCACCATGGAAAATTGGTTTTTCCACCGCAGACCACTAGTTTTAAGATTAGTAGGAGTTGACGTCCAAAGCAAAGAAGGAGAGAGAGTTGTCGTCCAAGGCTGTAATCGTATTTATTTAAGCAAATTTCAAAATGTAAATGGACGAAAAAAATTGGAAATGTGTTACTTTTTCAGCCTGTTTTTAAACCAACAAGTTTTGTTAGTAATCAGTCCGAGACCCACATAGTCCCACCCGCGTAGATCCGCCTTCGTTCCCTTATTATAGCGGATTTTATATGATATCAAAGTATTTTATTAGTTATTAAAAAAGCAGACACCGTCGTTTATTCAGAATTGTAGGTCGATAAAACCGCTTAACAAACATGACCATAATTTTTTATTACTCATTCAGACCGAGACTAAATTCATTGGGCTGTTTCAGAGATGTTATTAAAAATAAGCTTGAATTGTAAATATATTTATTTAATAATGTAATATCATTTTAGGTATAGTTAGACCAAATTGTATTTGAAATAATCCAATTAATACGGTTTAAAAAAACAACGTGAAACATTTGACTAAATTGCATTTTTCACATTTTAAGTTGAAATACAATTTTAATAGTTTGGCAACTGTCCTATGTTTCAGATATGAAGAATTGAGAAGATAGTGGCTCACAACATATTTCAGGACGGATATTAAGAGGAGGGAGTATTTATGGAGGTATGTGAATGAGTAAAAACATAATTTCATGTTATCCTGATAAAATTAATATTTGATATTTATATTCTTTGAGATATGTAAATTTATAATAAATGTTTTGTTGAATTTAAAAACGATTAGACTACGCGAAAGACTTTGTAAACGAGTAAAATTGAAAAGTTTAATATTGTTAGGAACTTATTAATTATTCTTTTTATGTAAGGTCGAACCCACGACCTTCGGCTCGAATTCCGCTCGTGACACTAACTTTTTCATCTCAATCAAGACCTTACGTAAAAAGAATAATGAATAACAATAATAAAAGAATAAAAATTAATTGAAATAATTAATATGAACAATTAGTCCACTAAACATAAATGGGTTTATTAATTATAACATTGCAGCTTGATGTCGTCGCTCATCCATCTTCTAATACTAATGGTAATTAGTTACATGACAGACCACAATGGTAGGAACCAATCAAGCTCCTGTTTCGATTGTTGTATACATTATCGAAATGTAAAAACCAAATCATTAAATAAAAATTTTATTTCATCATAACTTCAATTGGTTGATTCATTCGGTTAATTATGAAATATGGGAAGAAAACGGATCAAACTTCGGACAAGCTCGTGACTCCGCCAAGTCACTATTCCAGACATTTATGAAAGTTGATGTGGGTTACTGGAACTTGTGTAGGAGTTCTTTGTGCCTCGCTCACTCAGATTGGTTCCATTTTGTGTTTAATAAAAGCAAAATTTCTATGTCGCGGATTTAAGCTAAACATTGCCAAGTTTTTGGCATTATCAATTGTCCGTTTTTAAATTTTAATTCTTGACTCAAAAGATATTTTAAGCTGTTTCGCAATTTTCAATTTTTTTTTTTTTTTTTTTTTTTTTTTTTTTTTTTTTGTAAATAGCAATTAGTTATCAGTGCTAAGGAAATGTAAATGTTTAATATGTCGATATATCAAAAACCCAATGTTTTGTGGTATATTCTTGGCTTTTTGGTTGCACAGATTCAAATGGGCTTTATTAATGTTTCACATTAGGACATGAGACATGAGAGATCAAAAAATTTGTTGCAGATTTAAACCCCAGATAAGAAATTGAAGAATTGAATAAGAAATCAAAAACAAAATTGTATTATGTGTCTCAACAATCGATTTGTTTGATTGCTTTACTCTGTGGAAGTGATAGCAAGGCAGAAAAATGAGACAATCCCTTATGAAGCTTGAGTATTCGTACAAATCCTTGAATAAAGCCGTGCTTTTTGAAAATCTATTTAGTCAATATTGTAGCTGACGTCTATTTTCCATAAAATGGTACTTGGTATTTTAAGATTTTTCTATTTTAATGAAAAATTTTCCTCAGCAGTCACACATTCCAGAAAAGGATGTGCATAATCGTAAAATCTATAATATATCTAAGGTTTTTCCTGATAATTTTGTTCCAATGGTTCATAAAACTATAAACCGCGCTAAAGAAAATGGCATCTCTTAACTATCTATTTATGTTAGGAAGAAGAACGAAATTTGTCACGGCCTTGAGATTTAGGTAACTTAAAGACTTGCAGGCGTATAAAGTTTCACGGATATTATTTCATAGAAGAACGTTTTGAGTTTAATCTAATTATGTTCATAGTAAAAGAACATCATTTTGCTAACCGCAGTAGTTTTACTATTATGTTGAAAGCATGACAGGACCCATACTTACATGTTTAATGTACATAGTACAACTTTTATGATTGGGGCATATCTATGCTATTCTGAGTCTGACAGTACACTTCTTATAACGAGTTATATGTGTAAGTTTTTCATTATATATTCTCGTATAAAATTTTTAAAAGAAAGAAAAAAATTATTGTAACATTTTAATTTAAACAGTCTAAGAATTTGTTAGATAATAGAGTGCAAAGACTCTTAACCATTACCTGCCTGTATTCACGTTATTTTTTTAAATGATCACGAAGAATGACAGGAAGCACCAGTTGAAAACATAAAACAATACAAAAACTAAAACATTCACGTGGGTATATATATA